CCTCCCTCCCTCTCCAGCTGTGGTCCTCCCTCCCTCCCTCTCCAGCTGTGGTCCTCCCTCCCTCCTCCTCCAGCTGTGGTCCTCCCTCCCTCCCTCTCCAGCTGTGGTCCTCCCTCCCTCCCTCCCTCTTCCAGCAGCATCTGCGTGTTTCTGTGCCGCTGCAGCTGATTGGTGCGAAGCGGCTAACATTTAAAGTCTCACATCAGACATGATGGATCCAGAATGAAAGGCACCAGCAGCTCTGAACTGGGACAGAACCAGTGCTGCTCTGAGCGTGTTGTTGCTGTGTGAATAGCTCTGTAGCCGGGCGCCTCCGTTTGTCCATGTTGCCACGGGGACAGCAGGTAGCCGTAAGGCTCCAGCAGGTTGCTCTCCGTCGCTGTCAGCAGCAGGATGAAGCAAACCGTCTCTGCATCGCTCCTTCCCCGGGTGTCTGTTGTGCGGTCGCTTCTGCTCCGTGTGTTTGTCGTCTGGTTTTCAGCTGAGATGAATGAACGCCAGCCTCAGGCGTCTACTCGCTGACTGGCTGTGTTTGTGCTAAAGCAGGTTTGAAATGTTGGCCGGTCTGAAGTGGTTTCCTGTTTCCTTTTCTCATGTTTTTACTTCATTCATTCTGCCGGTTTCCTCATTCATCTGGATGATGTCGGTCCTGCTCTTTTCCTCTCAGCAGGCTGCTTGTTGCCCTCATGGCTGTAGCTGCTCTCTGTCACTGTGCTCCACTCCACCACAGCTTCACCACTGAACAGTAACCTGTGATGGAGACCAAACCTTTGAATAAAACAAACTAGAGAATCTAAATATGTACATGTGATAGTTTATACCTGAAAGCAGAATAATTAAAAGAATAAACAGAAAGTCTGCTTAAAGGGAATCTAGATCTAATATACAGTGTGTGAGGAAAGTATTCAGACCCCTTTAAATGTTTCACTCTGTTTCATTGCAGCTAAAACAAAAAAAGTTCTTTTCATTTCTCATTTATGTACAATCAGCATCCCATCTCAACAGGAAAAATCGTCTGTTGGATCGAAGCATCGATACAAAACGATTATTATTTACACTCCTAGTTCAGGCTCTGTGCTTTCGCTCACTTCCACTGTAATTCTAAAGGTTTGAGCCTAACAGGAAGGAAGCCCAGCTTCTCAAATGACTGATTTGATCCTAAAAATTAACACATTGAACTGATTTTCAGTTTTTTTAGCCTGAAACGCTGCAGAAATGATGGATGTTTTATTATCCCTTCCCTTGATGCCGTTCCTGTTTCTCTTCCCTGAAGTTCTGGGAGGAATAATCAGAACTTAGAGCTGCTGTAGATTCGTTTCTACGATGAACAGCTGTTGGTGTGATCATGCTGAGCTGTGGTTTTATCATTAAAGGCACAGTACACCCAAAACATGATTAGCCTTCATTTTCTACTCACCCCCATGCTGAACAACACTCTGGAGTACTTTTTTGATATCTCAAATGCATCTGGAGATCTGGGAGGCTTCTTGCTGTCTGCTGACATTCAAATAATGGAGGTCTATGGCGCCCGAGGCAGAAAGGTCCATAAAAGTCCACAAAAAACGTGTCAATATTCCTCCATACTGCTCGTCCAATGTATTCCAAGTGTCCTGAGTGGGTAGCGTCCAGAATTTACTCGAAACGAAGTCATTTAGAATGTTTTTAGAGCATAAACAGTAGTGTATAGGATTTCCTAAAAGCGCGTTCACGAGTCTACGGAAACCGGCAGACCAAACCAGATGAAAGTGCGCATTCAGCGTCTGCTCTGCCGATAATGCAAGCGTAGAAGAAGAAATGTGCTGTTTACCTGTGCAAAGAAAGAAACAACGAAAGAAAAATGTCTGAGGACTTCAGTGTTGAGGAAGAGCATGAGTTCTTTGCCGAGCTGAATGCGCACTTTCATCTGGTTTGGTCTGCCGGCTTCCGTAGCGTCGTGAACGCGCTTTTAGAAAATCCTATACACTACAGTTTATGCTCTAAAAACATTCTAAATGACTTCGTTTCGAGTAAATTATGGATGCTACCCACTCAGGACACTTGGAATACATTGGACGAGCAGTATGGAGGAATATTGACACGTTTTTTGTGGACTTTTATGGACCTTTCTGCCTCGGGCGCCATAGACCTCCATTATTTGAATGTCAGCAGACAGCAAGAAGCCTCCCAGATCTCCAGATGCATTTGAGATATCAAAAAAGTACTCCAGAGTGTTGTTCAGCATGGGGGTGAGTAGAAAATGAAGGCTAATCATGTTTTGGGTGTACTATTCCTTTAAGGAGTTTCAGGACGGCCAGGCTCCATTCAGTAGCTGCATATCGTTGGATTTATCTTTGCCAGACTTGAAGAAATCCAATCACTGCTTTTGACCTCATCTGTTCAGAAGCACTAAACAAAGATGTGATTTTTACTGCTCCTGTTAGGATTTTCCCTTTTTTTTAATGGTTTTAATTTTATTTTCTGCATTTCATTTTTTTATTTTTTTTTTTATTAGCTGTTATAAAAATGCTGCTTTCTTTTCCACCTAAACAAATACTCACTGAGGTGGCGTCTGTGTGTCTCAGTTCTACCTTCAGGACACTAAAAGCAGCAACGGGACGTTCATCAACAGCCAGAGGCTGAGCCGCGGCTCAGAAGAGAGTCCGCCCTGTGAGGTTCTGTCCGGCGACATCATTCAGTTCGGGGTGGATGTGACTGAGAACACACGGAAAGGTCTGTTACTGTCTTATTATGAGAATTGAAGTACTGAGACACACTGACAATGTCCAAGGATTCATCCTGGTATAGAATAGGCTGTCAGGGCTAGCTTTAAGCTAAGTTAGCCATAGAACACCTAAATGATCCCACATTAAGGTTAAATGTTCAGCTCCAGCCTTTGCTGGACTTATTTACACTGGCTAATATGGAATATATTTACTCTTTCTGTAAAAGCAGATAACAAATATGCTCCATTAACAGTACATAATCCATTTTACACAGGCAGAGGTTTTATTACAGACTTGTTACTTTGCAAAACTGCAAGTTCAAATCACAAGTTTACAAGCACAATAGCATAATGTTGGGTCCATGGACCTGAGTGTGTGGTAGCTTCATCCAGTCTTCGTTAGAGGTCAGAGTGAACGACTGAACAGGGGGTTTTCAGTGACGTCACTGGCCAGCTTCCGGTCCGCCATCTTGGGTGGCATATTATCGTATATCAAATATATCATATCGCGAATGGATAAGTACGCCAGCACGCTAGAGCCATCAGATCATGGAACATATCTGAGGAAATGTTCCGTGATCGACCATATGGACCCCTATGCCCTCCACGGTGCCTTGTTTAGCACTAATCCAGATGATTGGCCAAATGTAGAGCATGGTGACATAGTTCATTATCCGGTGTTCAGTGAAAACCCTCTTCTCACTCTTGAGGAAATGAGAGCGTACAAGGGTCTAGAGGCGCACAACCAGTTCACATCTGGTTGGGTACGAGATGTCGAAGTGATGTACATGAAGGAAATCCCCATCATACGTGGCCGGGTGAGTTTTAATAAGATGGTAAAAATGTAAACAATCCGACGCAGGGCTCGCTATGCTAGGTGGCTAACGGCCGGCGGTGCGCGAACAGTTCCAAAGCTACAAGTCCTTGGAGTCTCATGTGCAGTTTACGAATGGATGGGTTCAGGAGCTGCAGCTCATAAAGCCAGCAAACAGTGCTAACCGTTAGTGCTAACAACCACTCAGGCATGTAATGTACTTTTAACTAGCTGCTATGTGTTTCAAAGGTTTGGTTAATAACGTTAGCTGCCAAACCTCCCTAAACCCTCCGGGTTTCTCACATATTTGAGCCTTTTCCCGCTGGTTGAAATCAAGTTAAAGTGAAATTAATCAAATTAAAACACGGCTGAGAGAGGGAGTCCAGTACGCGGTAGTCATAGGCAGTAGTCTGAGTAGCGGCGGCGGAGACGGTCAACATTGCGGCCACGGAAAGTAATACGTCATGACGCCCAAGCCCTATTATTAATATATTCTTACGTGTTTTAAATGCTTGACAGTTAATTACCTGTGACAAAGTGAGCACTGCAGACTCTGGTGTATTCCAGCTTAACACCGTCCAAATCGCACCTGGATATCCGTGTCAGCCATAGGTGACGGCGTTGTTCAGATAGCTGTTTTGTTTTTTCACATTGATTCACGATTACGGCTGGTATGCGATAGAAAGAGCGTTGATCTCCACCTCCACGGGCCGTGCAACCAACAATTACACACGATTTCACCATTCTTCACTGTCAATACTGCCTAAGGCTGCCACCCAATATGGTGGACGCGCTGAGTAGTCACGTGAGCGTGACGTCACCTGAAAACCCCCTATTTAGTGTGAACCCTTGGTCAAGTCTGACAGGAAGAGCGCTGTCTTGGTCCAGGCCTTTTCTAAAGAGCTGGTCAGTTGTAGTGTTAGAGGTTCGACCAGACTCGCCGGCTAATGGTTTAGGCCCGCAGCGGAGTTTCAGTCCCAGGAAGTGCGCGCTGGTATTCTGAGGGTCATTCATTCTGCAGCCGTGGCTTCGGACCCCAGGAAGGGCCTGGATTGCTGCTGTGGGTGGATGTGTGGTGGTTTGGGGATCGACACCAATCACAGAGATCAAAGGTCTATTATTGATATAACAAAGTTTCATCTTAGTCCCGTTTATTGATCCTTGATGTTTTTCAGCCTGACATCAATCAGAGACTAACTGTTGAACCACAAAATAAAACGTTTCTTTGTCATGTGAGCATGTTGCTTAGTAACACTTCTGTCTGTCTCCTCAGTCACCCATGGCTGCATCGTGTCAACAATCAAACTCTTTCTACCTGATGGGATGGAGGCCCGCAGACGAAGCGAGTAAGTCACAGTCGTACCCTAGTTATGTCCCCTATAAAAGGCCGTTGCGCCTCGGGGCTTCCACGCGGTTCTTTTTCCTGGGAGCAAGTTATTTACTACTCTTAACTCAAACTGGGTAAAACCATGTAAAAAGGACTATAGAAACAGGAGTAAAAAATAACAGAGTTTATTCCAGATCAGGTCGTTACAGGACAGAGAAAAATGCTTGGAGCTAAAACAGCTGTGGGCTCAGAAATCACGTCCGGCAAAGACTGAGCCCCGAACAAGGTCATCTTCTCCTTCTTATAGCTCATGAGTCTATGTGTTGGATCATGTGGATGTTTAGCTGTCCATATCAGAAACTGACACGCCATCCATGCCCTGACGTATATGCGTCTTGCCTCTATGCCCAAGAATTACAGATAGCTCTCCTCTATCAGTCCGGCTCCAAGATGTGCCCATATCCTGTGTATCTTTAAAAGACAAGAAGGCTGTCCTATTTAGATGACCTCCGTACACACAGTGACATCCACCATGTGAAGGAAGGCCTTCTACTCTGTCTAATCTGGCTAACAAAATAACAGTGCAAATGATGTATAAAGAATAAACCTAACACCTAGATTTGGGTGAAATGGTTGCGTGACGTTAAAAAAGCCTCTACTGCAAGGTGACACCTTTACCTTCAACCAGCATCAAGATTGGAGGAGCAAATATGAAGGTCTGTGTTGATTTAGCTAAAATGAGGAATCTGATAACAAAATGCTGTGGGTTATCATTAGGGCTGGGTATTGTTCAAAAGTTTTGGTTCCGGTACCGATACCGATACCTTCACTTCGATACCGGTTCCTGATCGATACTTTTTTCGATACCAGTTTTATAAAATCAATTCGAAGAAAAAGAAAATTACACAACAGAAAAAAGTACAAATCTTGAGTTTTATTTTAAGCTCTGATTTTTCCATTTACATTTTTCCTCTTACATAAAAAAAAAATTCAGTGTTTAATATTCACTGTTACATTGTGAGGACCTTTTTACTTTAGTTTTCCTTTAGAAAAATTACCATATCTGACAAACAAGCCCATTGAATGGGATCCTACTGACAGCGCACCGCTGGTATGTGGGGGTCTGAGCGGCTCCCACAGAAATATTGGAAGGCAGGATGAACTGACTGCACTGATTAAGTTTTCAGGTGGATTTTCCCACTTAAAAACATATTAAAACTACTTTATTCCCACTGATCACAGCAAATATAGCTGCAAGGCAAATAAAGGATAGAGTAGCTCCGCCCAACGCGCGTCAGAGCCACTTCTCGACCGCGCAGCCAGAGCAGCTAAGCTGCTTCAGCCGCACGTCAGAAGCTGATACAAGCAGCAAAAAAGGAAGCAGCAGACGTGATTTTGCTGCTCTTGCGGCGTCCAGTTTGAAAGCAGCATTATTCACTCCGCTCTGGCTTTGCTCTGCCCACGGGCTGCTGAGAGGAGGATGGTCGCGCTGGCTGCGGTCCGCTCTTCTTGCAGTCAAACACCGAGCAACTTTCTGCTCTTAAATTGTTTCCGTGCACGATGTATTGCATTGCGCACTATTGGCATCAGTCTTAATAAAGTGAAGACGCACTTTTGACCTGGGGGGCATTTTAAAGGGGTTCCACGACGTTCGCAACCAGTTCACAACAGATACACATGAACCCTGGCTGTAGGCGGGACCACCTGTGTATTTTTCCTGGATGACGCAATAAGGTTAAGTGTTACAGCCAATCACCGAAACTTGGTACCGAAAGACAAGGCATGTTTGATACTCTGTAGAACCGAAGCATTTCGGTCGGCACCATAAAAGAACCGACTGCAAAATTCTACAGAAATATTTTCATTAATAAATAAAATACAATAAATAAATGCAATAAAGGTTGTATACTGTTCACAATATTAAGCAAGCTTGATAAAAAAACTTATAGAATTAAAATTAAGTGTTCTTTCCTTGGCTATGCTTTGCACACATAACAATAGCTACGTTTACATGCGCAAAATTTCCCCGATCTGATCCAAACCTTGGTTGATCGGAAATTCAAAATCTCCGTTTACATGGACACTAAATGAAATGATCCGATCATGACGTGTGTATACATGTACCAAGCGTTGGATCAGATTAAATCTTTTAAGCATGCGCAGAACTTCCTGCCAAACTTGGCAGTTCTGTCTGCGTCTGGTTTTTGGGAGGCCTGACAAACGATGCGCTCGGAGCGAGCGGAAAGAAAAACGGAGAGAGGAGGAAGAAAGCGCTTGGCAGCGAAATGTCAGAGAGAAAATGTAGAGAATGAGCGATTGAACCGGCGTGGGAGAGCGAGTGGGCTGTGGAGAGAGAAAAGAGGAAGAGGAGGAGGATAAATTCCTGCTTCCTGCAGCTTTAAATGAACTTGATTGTATAAGTCGGCGTTCCTAGACTCCCCCCGCCATGATGTTGACAACAAGAGCGAGAGCGACCGGTGGTTTCCTGTTGTTGACAAGGTGGAAAAACGTCACTCTGACGTCGCACACATGCGCAGTGAAGATTATTTTACTCTTAAGATCCGAATGGGTGTTTACATGGACGCCAATCGGAATGGCGATCGACAAAAACCACCTCTCTCTTTCGGAATTAAATTTAGATCCGATCGGACCGAATCGGATTAGAATCTTCAGTCTGACATGTTTACATGAAACATTTTTGATCTGATCAGGCCTTCAATACGATTATTTGTGTCCATGTAAACGTAGCTAGTGACGCTAGCCAAACCGGTTAAGAAACAAAAATAATTATCAGCAGCTTCACCTGTTACAAAAAAAATGTCTGAAACTGAAAAGTGCGTAGAATTATTCAATCACACAGTGTTCAGAAAGTGGATTTTCCTCTATTCTGCACTTTAGATGAATGACTGCTTAGGTGCCACTGGTGGTGGCACAGTATCGATACTTTTAAAAACGAGTATTGTATCCGGATACAACATTTCAGTATCGATACTTTTGACAACCCTACTCACCTGGTTCTTCTCAAAGGGCCGATTGTCCTGTCTTTATTCTATGAGTGTTTAAAAAGCAAGAAGCGCAGAGAGACGCCTCAGACCTGTTCTCTTCATGGCAGTCAATCCATGGAGCCTTTGCTAGTTTGTTTTCTTTGCAAATAATGACTCCTTTAATAATACAGAAAAACACAGAGCGGTTCATGTTTTAATTGATCATTTCACTATTAAACTACTTATGAAGAAAATTGACAAAATTGACAGCAATGCAATCATTTTATTCAAACATCCTTTCAGGCTCTGAGATTTATGGTTTGAGGCTTGGGTGGCATCAGGACGCTGCAGCACGTTTAGTAGTAGCCATTCAATTCAATTTATTTTTAAACATCAATATTTTTTCTGTCATGATTAATGGACATTAAGATCTAAAGAGAAGCATTATCCTCTGGTCAGACCCTGTAATTCAGAGAAAAGGTGGAGGCAGAGTAAAAATAATGTGCCCCAGGAGAAGGCCATTGGGTGGAAGTTACACTAAAACTGATCAATGCGCAAAAAAGGATTCTATTTCTTCTTCCTCTCTGAAGAAAGCACAGAAGCATTGAACAAATTGCCAAGGCAGCGCGTTTCTCTCTAGTGAGCTTCATATTTAACAGGAGGCATCGACACTTCCATCTTTTTGCTCTTCTGTTCGTTTGGCTTCCAGATGGACGAGTCAGAGTAGCGCCATCCCAGTGCTGAGCCGAGTCCGACGTGGTTTTTAGACGTACAGTGTGAGCAGGCAGATCGCATCAGAGTGTCGGGCTGCACAGTGTGAGAACAAACATTGTGAGCTGTGAACTCACACTGTGAGTTTGAGCTGTAGCTGCATGCAACGATTGAAATAATCGCACAGTGTATTAGGGGTGTAAATAATAATCGTTTTGTATCGATGCATCGATTCAACAGCCGACGATCCGATGCATCGACACGTCCGCAAGAGAAACGATTCATGTTTTTTTTTTCCTCCGATCTACTTTAATCCATTTGCTCCTGGGCGTAATTCTCCCTCCCGTGCTGCGGTGGCACTAAACCTATTTTGCCCTCCTACCTCACTTCCTGGTTATACTTCTGCAGCAGTGTGTTGCAGTGAGCTTGATGCGGACATTTTGGATTTATGCCCAGTATGGAAGCGTGGTCTGTGCTACATGCTGTGGGTCTAGATACGGCCGAGGCGGCGAGGAAGTGGGGGCGAGTTTAGTCCAAAGACGGAGGGACATGAGGGCCAAAAAGAGCGGAGATCCAGGTGGGAAAAGGGTCCCAGCGTTCTCACGCAGCTCGCTCTTCTAGCAGGTCAAACTTTGCGAGTTGTTTTCTGCAATTTCGGTCATAAAAACAGAACAAGCCGGCATCCTGTCTGCGGTCAGCTACAATCTGGGAGAGGTGCAGCGGAGCGTCTGTGGAGGGGGCGGGACGTCTGGAGCCGAGGTATTGCATTGCACTCATTGCACTGATTTTGTGCAGTATTTTCTGATGCAAGGCCTTTCAGAATCTATAACGCAGGGGGATTATTATTTTTCAGTGAATGAGGTTTTAATAGGAATAGGTGGAGTGCAACTTTTCTACTTCTGTTATTTGCTGTTGTTTTTAAAAGAAAATGCATAACGATATTACAGCTTTCATTGATTTATTTTCAAATTTGAAACATTGTCTAGCCTGTAAGGTTTAAAAAAAAAAACTAACCAATTAATCGAATCGAATCATATCGTGGTGTATTCTTGAGTATCGAAAAAAAATCGAATCGTTGGGTCAGGAAATCAATACTGAATCGAATCGCCACGATAGATGTGGTTTACACCCCTATACTGCATGCCCGGGTTTAGTGGCGATAACACCGTACATAACGTATTATTTAAATGTTTTTCTGCACCTGAGCTGCTGAGTGGTCTTCAGGCCATTCTTTACTTTTGCTTTAGGGCACATCTAATAGAAAAGAAAAGAAAATCCCTTTATTGTCCCACAATGTGGAAATTCTGGTATTTTACAGCAGCAA